AGTAACAGATGACTTGATACATTTTATGGGAAGTATAGCTGTTTATTTAGTTTCTTTCACATTTTACAGATATACATCTTATTTGAGTGATAGAATTTCAACTTTTTCTTGTACTAACATGTAAAAAGGCTGTGAAATGTTCTGACTGCCAAACCAAAGGTCTTTTGGCCAACCTTTCCCAGAGAAGCTTTTATTCTTTGACCTACTGTCAGTGAAAGATGAGGCATCATATTATCTGTCTTGTCTGGTGAATAACAATAAAGATGACAACAAATCAATGTTGCATGTCAACTAACTTGTTAAAGGCCAGATACAAATACCAAATTACTAATAAAAATACAATACAGTTCAACACCCTCAAAAGCTGGCCAATCTCTAATTGCAATAACAAAACAAAGCACCAGTTTCCCATTGAATTACTATTGAATTCTTCCTAACATCATATGACTATAATAAAAAATGCATGATATTTATAGCTAGAATCTAACACATTTTGACACAATTTTTGTCAAAATGAGAGCGGCATATTGATGAGAGAAAACACTATCTTTGTAATGTTATTGCTTTCATAATTACTTTTTTATTTAGACAACAATGAAATAAATTTGATATTTAGAATTGTGGAGGAAAATGAGTACAAGATAAGCTAGAAATAAAAACGGTGATATCCAAGCTCTTAGAAACAATACTAAATATTATATCAAAACTAGAGACAATATGATTACTTTCAACTAGGTGTTCATCCCAAATTCATCTCTTGCCCTTAATGCTACGGTCATTTCCTTGTTTTATTCCCATATCACTTTCATGATATTGGCCATTCTACTTTCATATATTACCCATGTGTCTCCAGCCTTGCATCCTCTAATCAATACATCATCTAAATTCAAAGATCAGAATTGGTACATGTCCTACAATGCTTCACAATTTTCCACAACTCACTATCTCAGATTATTTCCTAATCTATGCAGGTTTCAAACTGAACAAGGGTCGTACAGTAGCTATCATTCACTGAAGGATGTGGATAGCCAATCAAAATGCAATACGATGAGCACTATAATAGAGTGGGCTTCAGAAATATTTTTTTTTAACAAAGGAAAAGCAAATAACCTTCACTGGAATAGGATAAGGTTGCAAAGAAAGACTAATGGGTCTAGTTGCTATTCCCTATTTTTTACGTCTTTCATTATATTTATTTTATTTCATTTTTTGTCTTTGGCCTGGGAGATGTCTTTCCATTTGGCTAGCAAGTGTTGACATTAGAATATTTTGCTGTAATTGTTGGTTAACAATCTATTCTAGTGCACAGGTCACTCCAGGCTAGAGGCTATTTCTTATCATCCTTTGTTCTTATCTTTGGCTCAGTGTCTGGCATCTAACAATAGTAACTCCATTCTCAATATTATCATTTACAAATAAATGATGCAGGATTCACCTCAAAAGCTACTTCTATGCACTCATCCTGGGATTCCCTGGCACATCTGATTATCCTTTTCTGTAGACAAATTATTATTCTGTATACATTGCTCACCTAAGACTTGTACAAAACTGTGTGTATGAGCATGAAATGGGATAGTGTTGAGTGCTTGGTTTCTGTCTCCTTTTCCTGTGAGCATCCTGGGTCAAGAGTCAGATCTTCTTTATTACCCATGTGTGTGTCTCATTAGTCTCTGCTACTTCCCTCCCTAGTAGTAGGTTTAGTGCTCCTTACACAGAGTCAGGTGTCACTTAATGGAGATACACTGTGAGAATGTTAGGTGATTTTGTCAGTGAACATCATGAAATGTACTTACGTGAAACTAGACAGTATAGCCTACTACATGCCCCTTATGGGACCTGTACCCAAAATGTGGTCCAAAGTCAACCAAAACTACATTATGTGGTACATAACTGTACTTGAAAAAGTTGTGTTTAATGGGACCAGCAGTTAGCGTAATGGCTATGTCACTGAACTCCCATGTAGTCGACCACGGTGTGAGTCACGGACCCAGTGGCTTAAATTCAGACCGGGCGCATGTGCGTGCGTGCCCAACACCCCGAGAGGAGAATGGAGGAGAAGGGATTGCAGTGTGGCCATCCCCCCTGGGAGGTGATTTCTCGCTTTCTCTCCCTCTGTCTCTCTCTGTCTTTCTGGTGAGCGTGTGTGCCCTATAGCAACAACCTCTCAAAAAAAAAAAAAAGTTGTGTTTAATAAACTCTGTCATATGTTACAATCAACAAGAAAATTGCTGATCATCATCAGAATCTTTGATCATTAGAAATGAAAATTATTGAAAGCATGAAAATAAATTCTGAAGATTTTGTATTTTGTTATTCAAGAAAACCTTAAGCCTGAATTATGAGAGTTCAAATTAAGCATATAAGAAGTCTATAGAAGATCTTTTCTGTGTTTTTTTAGAGTGTATGTTAGTATCACAGATAGCAGAGTGTAATCTTAAATGTGCTCAATAAGCTTTGCATTTCAGTTTCATAGGTCTTTGCATTGGAAAACTAAAAAGTATAAAATATATATTTAAAAATTGACAATACCATCACTCTTGTGAGACATTTGGAAAAAAATAAGGGAACTGCTCATTTTTAAAGTCCCCCAAATATACTCATTTTAATTTGTCCATGTTATATTGTCTTTTAGTACAGTTTTTTTGTTGTTGTTTTGTTTTTGAGAGATTTTTTTGCTATAGGGTGTGAGTGCTCGCTGGAAAGAGAAAGACAGAAGGACAGAAAGTGAGAAATCACGCCCTGGTGGAATGGCCATGCTGCAGTCCCTTCTCCTCCATTCTCTTCTCAGGGTTTTGGGCACACAGGCACACAAGTCTGGCAGGACTTTTGAGCTGCTGGATCAGAGACACGAACCATGGTCAACCTCGTGAAAGTCCAGCACCTTAATCACTATATCAGCTGTTGGCTCCAAGTCCTAATTTTTAAAAACCTGAGCCCAAAGAATAATGAAAATAAATTCTGCTATCAGTATTACTAAATAGTTTTAACTTTGCCATTGTTTTTAGTAAGAATGACTATTTCTATCGGCAAATATCAGGCAAATAACAACTTAAATAAGGGAACCAGCAGTTATCGTAATGGCTATGTCGCTGGACTCCCACGTAGTCGACCGCGGTTCGCATCCCGGACCCGGTGGCTTAGAACTCATGCCGGGTGCATGTGGGAGCATGCCCAAGATCCCAAGATCCCGAGAGGAGAATGGAGGAGAAGGGATCACGGCATGACCATCCCTCCTGAGGGGTGATTTCTCGCTTTCTGAATCTATGTCTCTCTCTCTATCTATCTAAAATATCTATTTCTATCTATCTAAAATATCTCATTGATTTTTAGAAATTTGTTTTAAAAAGAACTTCTACTATGATGCATTTTGGTTATATTAAAGTATCTTATCATGCCCAATATGTACAAATAAGTTTACATTATATATCTGAATATTCTAAAAATAATTTGTGGCAAAAAGAAAAATATGTATCAGTATGTATTATTTATTTAGTTTTTATTTTGATGGAATTAATTTTGTTTCAAAGGGTAAAGGCATATTTATAGTCTATGGATTTTTTTATTGTTTTTATTATCATCATAATCTTCTTTAGATAACATTGGATTACACATAACTTTACAGTGTATTACATTGCTTTTTCAAAAGGAGTCTATGGATTTTTAAAGCAGACTGTGAGAAAGGAAAAAAAGAATTTCACATTATCCACAGTTTTCATGTAATCTAAGTTCAAACCTTTCTGCATATAGTGTTCAAACAGTATTACCTTTGCTCCTCAAGCTCCATTCTCCATTCTCTGACTGTAGCCATTAAAAATGGAGATTTTTAAGCCCCATAATAGTTTTTTCTTGTGGAATACGCACCTCTGGTGTTTGCTTTTTGTTTCTTTTCCTCAAGATTCATGAGACAGTGACCCACTTAAATCACTGACATAAATAAATACCATACTAGAATTTTAAGTTTTTAGGAAGTCAGAGAATGAGGGCAAAAATGTGTTTTTAGCTTCCTATTTCAAATGTGAATTTAAAAAAATAAAGTAATAATGACATGCATTTATATGGGTACTACAACCCCAGTGAGACAAATGAAATCTTTTCAAAGGAAAGACAGAAGGAAATATTTGTGAGTGTTGTTTTAGTATGTAAATATTTGTAAACAAAGGCAAACTTGTAGAAACAAAAACAGCCTGTTGTCTATATTCTTAGATTCTGTAAAGGACAAGTCAAAATAAATAGTGACCTTGGAACTGTAAAGAAGATAGAGAATTTAGAATTATTAAAATAAAAAAATGCCTATTTCTTCTGACTTTTTATTTTTAGACTTATGGAATAAAATTATTCGTGTCTTTGTATTTCAACAGTTAGGCTAACAGAGGAAAACAAACTCTTGTGAGAAATTCAGGAAAGAATACAGAACGGGTCATACCTAAAGTCCCTCAAAGGATATTTTCTAACTTAAGAAGGTTTTGTTACAGAGTGTGCAACGGCTTGAAACTCTTTTATTGTTCCGGCTCCTAAACTCCCATCAGAGCTGATGATTAAAGTTCTACCCACTGGCCAGGTCTACAATTATCCCATTGTGATGGTGCTCTCCAGTGGCGCCCTGCTATGGTCAGACATCAAGTCATTAGAGAACTGCAAGGGATGATGAAGAAGGTTATTTTAATTCTCTTTTCAGCCCTTCCCAGGAGTGGCTCTTTAGTTCACAGAGCTGTGGGTACTTGCTTTCAAACTAACAAGCAATATTATAAATGGAGGCTGCATTATCATGATTGCAGACAATCTAAGGCACTTGAGGACCAAAGATTCTCAGTCCTCAATACGTGCTGTTTTGTATTTAGCAGCTAAAAACATACAGGCAGTGCAAACAGTGAAAGGGGCAGGGGAACGGAGTGAACAGGGTGAGAGGGGAGTAAAGAGACAGTAAGAAATCACAGGGCAGAATGAACAATAGAGAGAGGAGGGCAGCTTTGGCCATATTGCTGATATAAAAATATATTTACCCATTTTCTTGCTGTTCCACTGCATAGTGTTCCAGCTCTGTACCAGGAAGGGGTTGGACTGGAGGAGGAGGTAGAGGGACATTGGCCCAGGTAGATCCATTGTTTTTCTGTGGTTTAGAAGAGTTTTTATTTTTCTTCTTTTTTCCACCCTTTCCACCTGCAAGTAATAATGCATTTATTCAGAGATGACAAATATCAGAAGAAACTGAGTACATCAGATGGGAAGATGTAGTTATGTTTTCAAAACACCAGAATGAGTATGCTTGAGTTGTTAAAGGCCTAAACAATAAAATTATAAAATCAGAAAAACATTTGTATAAATCACTCAAAATGATATTGTTTCTTTCCCAATGCATTAACTGCAGAGCAGAATAAACCAAAATCATGATGCTGTATCAAAAGCACACTTATTGATTTATTCATGTCTGCTGCCTCCACGTTTTCATTGTTAGATGAAATAATGGGCCATAACAAATTCTTTTAAATGTCAGATTTCAGTGCATTTATAATGCTCTTTTGCATAATCTCTCTCAGTGGAAAATGCAGTGTCTGAGGATACAGCCTAAACTTTTCCATTAGAATTTACTCAATTTAATTAATCCAGCAGAGTAACATTTTTCTCTCAAAAGTAACTGATAAAAACCAATCAACTACAATCTGTAAAATACCAGTAAATCTTTCACAATGATGTGTTATAGAGGCTTTTTACCTAGTGAATGGTGCAATTATTTTTGCGTATAGTGAGAATAATTTCAGTTCTTTTAAGCATAAAATTCCAAAAAAGGGGCAAAAATTAATGGAGATACAGTAATCGGTTTCAGTACTATTGTAATACAAATGAATTCATGCACACAAAGATGATGGTAAGTAAATCAGCAGCATTCGGGCCATATCTGGGATTACATGGAGCTTAATGAAATATAAAAATAAAGTGTACTATTTGTATAATGCTATATTTTTCACTATTCTAAAATCAGGTAGATACAATTAGTTTCCAAGAAGTTGACCATAGTTGGATACAGGAATTAGTACTTTTTGATCAGAATGACAAAAGCTACTTACAGGAAAAGCTAAGTAAGTTCTGCAGCTGCCAGCGTGGCCTGTAGTTATAATTGTAAAGAAACAGTACTGACCCCTTAGACTTCATATTTCTGATAGCAAAAGTCATAAGCATAAAATATTTGTAGCCGAGCTATCTAGTATATATTGACATAGCTATATAAGTTTATCTCATCTCCTTTCTTCCGTAAATTCCAAATCTGCATCAGCCAAATCAGAATATGGCATAATTAATTGTGTCTGCTTTCTACACAGCATGCACATATACACAGATATCTGAAAGTGCATCCCTGCAAAGTGCTTCCACCTCTCCTTTCACTTCCTATCTTTGGTGGAATAAGAAATACTGAGAGAAAGTAAAACAGCTATCTTCTGCTTAGAAGGTAGGAGCTTCATACATGGATTTGAAGACTAGCTCCTCAGTTACTTGGTAAATTACTCAATAGACATGCCTCAATTTCTATACCTGTAAAAGAGATACAAAATTACTACTTTTTTGAGTTATCTTGAGAAATGCAAGAGATGAGGCATATTAAAGTGTTCAAAATGTATAGAATGCTCAGTAAATTACAGACAGCATTGCTTTTTCCATCTCCTCTCAGAGCAAACCCAGATTCTATCATTTTCTAAAGTCTTCTATTCTGTCAATTTCTAGCCCACGTGAGTCTCCCAGAAACAGTCTAACACTTAAGGTGAGATTAATAACCTTTGGAACAGCAGATGGCATAATGGTTACATCACTGGACCCCCACATAGTCAACTGCAGTTCAGGTCCCAGACCCGGTGGCTTGAAACTCATGCCAGGTGTGTGTAGCATGCATGTCCAAGATCCCGAGAGGGGAATGGAAAAGAAGGGATTGTGGTGTGGCCATCCCCACTAGTTGGTGATTTTTTTTTTAACACTCTGCCTCTCTCTCTGTGTCTCTCTGATAAAGGCACATGCCCTATTTAACTGTTTCTGTGGTATCAGAACTGTATTTCAATGATTAAAATTGAAATAGGTGGAGTTATGGGTTGTTCACAGCTTTCCGCCTAGCTGTACCTGCCTTAGTCCTTACATTCTTACATGTACCATGTTTTCACTTTACACAGCACTTTTGGAACACTTACGTAATTACCACCAGTGCTGAGTGAGAAAAATAAGGGCATTCTTACATTTCCATCTTAAAAATGAAGACATTTTGTTTCTTTCTATTACATGATCCATCCTCACATAGTAAGGGAAAAACTGGAATTTAGAATGAAGCAGTTTTACAAGAAAAGATTATTTCTAGAGCTCTGTACCCAACTGTTGAAATCCTTGCCCAAGAAAGTCACTCATTACCTACTCTTCCAAGCAGACTTAAAAATATATTTTGGAAAGAGATAGTGATTTAAAAGTGTTTCTCATCCAAGATCTATTTTCCCCTTTTTTGGAAAAAAATATTTTCTCTCATCATAAGTAGTCTAAATAAGACTATTAATCAACATACCTATCTTCTTTTGGCAATGAGCTAAGCTGTGGGCTCTAAGCAAAGTGGAAAGCATATGACATAACCTCAGGCAATTAAATTCTGTTTGAGATCTGAATCTTGAATGAAATGAACCACCTTCTGATGGCATTACTACCAACTAAAGAATCTTCGATCATTTTAATGTAAGAACTGCCTGCATTATGTTTAAAGAGAATTCATTTTGATGACTTGCGAACATATTCAACTCCTCTCTATTCAACTCAAAATGAGAATATTTTACTTTTATTCATACCTAACAAATGACTCTATGTAAAGAAAATTATAAAAACTGGGCCTGCTTTGGGGAACAACAAAAATACACTACTCAAGCTAAGTCAGATTTCACATGCTGACTGTGTTCCAAATCTCTGGCCTAGTCAGCCTGCAATATGTTGGCCTAGTGTGCAAGTGTCCAGGATATGAGAAGCCAGACGATGGCAGGAGGGGGTCATGGTATGACCAGACCCTGTGGAAGGTGTTCATCCCTCTCTCTCCCACTCTCATTCTCATATGCATGTGTACACACACTATCATGAATTAAAAAAAAAATTGTGAATACAGCTTATTCTAAAATCAAACAATCTAAAGGGCAGCAGATGGCATAGTGGTTATGTCATTGGGCTCCCACACTGCCAACTGCAGTTCAAGTCTAGGGCTCGGTGACTTGAAAATCATGCCATGCATATGTGTGTGTGTGTGTGTGTGTGTGTGTCCAAGACCCTAGGAGGAGAATGGCGGAGACTAGAATGCAGTGTGATCATCCCCCCTGGGGAGGGGGGGGTGATTTCTCACTTCTCTCTCACTGTTTCTGTCTTCTCTATCTCCAGAGAATCATGTGCCCTATGGCAAAAACCTCTAAAAAAATCAAGCTATCCATTAAAAAGCTAGTATATTAACATATTTAGTGATTGCTACCAATATTGCAATATATACATACATATATATATATATTTGTAATATATATAAAATACTAATTGCAGATATTATTCGAAAGCATATTCTCTTTCATATACTTTAATGGTTGGATTTTTAGCAGAAGTACTACTAAAAATTGTGTACTGAATAAATTACAATAGCATTTCAAAGAGGATGAAAAATTCACTCAAATAATTTAGAAATATTTTATCACTTGTGATTATTTTAAATTGGTTCCTTCACTGCACAAACTAAGAAAAATCTTATAATATGATATGATTAGCTAGCCACAGGGCAGATTGACCTGAAATGTGAAGCTTAAGGAACATACCTATGACTGTAAGAATGAAACTCTATGATATGGACTCAATCGGACTAAATCAAAAAGACAATAATCACTTCACTATCACCAACAGAGCTCAAAAAAGCAGTAAGCACTATTGTAAAACACATTCTACTTACAATGGCTCAAAAGATCACTATTAAAACTTGATGACACTCAACGTGTACAGAATGTTAAAGATGACTAGGCTTTATACAAGTATAGTCCATGGCTTATAATATATAGATTTCTTTTTAGATATTGCTTGAGATGCTACATATCTTTAATGCAATAAAAAGGACGCCTGGGATAAATTACTTTTAAATTATTCAGGACAATTGTGGACTTAGTATAGGTAAATGACAATATAAATGACATATAAGGTCACCGAAAGAGCTTCCGGGGTTATTAAGCCAGTTTAAATTCGTAACAGATGTTTGAAGTTTTCTTGTTCCGTAACATATTTAGTTCTACCAATAGGCAGGAAGAGCAAATGACTCTTTATAGAGAGAAGAGAGAGCATTAACATTTTCAGACTTAGAGGTTCTATCTCCTGAGGAAAAATAATTTCATGAATGATACCCTAGTGATATAAAAAGTTAACTCTTTATGGCCTTGATGCCTTATATCCTGTGACACACCAAAATACACCAAAATCCTTTGCTTATCACCTCTAATTTTGAAACAAAACAAAACCTCCATAGAAACAAATAGCATATAATTAATCTGTACAAACTGAGTAAGCAGGGTCATGGAATCAATTAGGAATGTGCAGATAAAGTCATCATCCATACAATGTAGATGCTATGGTTAGAAGTTAGAGTGTGTTGACTAAAGCCTCCTTAACTTACAGCTGACGCTCCTTCTCTCAGGCAGCCATCGCTGACACTCATATAAAGGTGCATATTTCTAATCAGTAAAATGTGTTTTCTCCACATGTGCTATATAAAACCTACATTATAGATTGTTAGTTTAGTGGGTACATTTCTAATAAATATTCACAGCATAAAAGAATTATTAATATAAAAGATTTTATGGGTTTGGTAAAAACTAAATATGAATAATAATTTCCCATATTAACATTCTTCTTTCGTACAGCATGATATCATCTAAGAAATAATAAATCTTACTACATGATATTTTGGGAAGCATTTCCAAAAATAAAAAGTCAATCACATCTGTGGAATCTCAATATTATGAAAAATTTCCCAAATTATTTTCAATTTTTGTGGAATTCATTTTTGGTGACCATGACAGAAAATTGGCTTTCATGAACAAAGAGTCTCTTGACTCTTAAACAGGGTTCAAGGCAGATAAAAAAATCTATGTCTTACTGAGAAGCATTTAGTAAAATTGTGTTTTCCTTTCAACACATCCTTGCATAGTTAGCACATAAGCGTGACCCTGATTTTTACCCCCGCCCCTACAACAAAGCATGATTTCATTAAGATAAACTGATATTGTCAGTTGAAAGATAAATGCCTGACAGTAAGTTGTGATTCAGTATTTCTTCATGGCTGTTAGGAACACAGGTCATATGCTGGTGACAAACAAATATTTCTCCTTACTGTGATGAGACCAACCTGAGAGACTGCCACTCCTTTCTGAGCTGTTGTGAGAGCTGGTGGTGCTGAAATCCTGTGACTGGTTGTGTGGCATTCTATTAGACAATCCCTCAGCCAATCGGTAGTCAGGGATGTAAAGTAAGGCTAAGGGTTAAAGGGCAGAGGTCACAGTGGCATCATGTGATTAGTTCACAGCACAAGCCCATGCAGAACATGCAGTTAGCAAATCAGAAGCAGATGTTGTGGGAGAGTGGAGAAATGTTTTGTCTATCCTGTCCTAATGGAAGAAGAGATGAATTGTTGATCACACTGTTGAAAAAGAGCTGAAAGGATGAAACTGACTGGTGTTGGTGTGTGGTGGTGGTGGTGGCGGTGGTGGTGGTGGTGGTGGTAGGGATTGTTTAGGGTACTGAATACATGCCAGCATTTTTTTTTTAAGTTTAGGTAGTAAACCTGGTAATGAATCACTAAGTTGAACAACAAATACTAATTTCTATCTCATGCAGAAATGATATGAAAAGAACTCTTTAGTACACAGAAACTGACTCACCATTGTTACCTTTGTTCTGATCAGGCAGAGAATAACCAAATCCCATCAGATCTGTTTTTTGCTGAATTGAGCTTTTCCATTGTGGATCAGGCAGATCGACAGCCAATTCATGAATGCTATTGGAATGCAAGATCTGTGTCGTGGCATATGGGGTAGCCTGCGTTATTTGGCTGGAACTGTTGTAAGTGGTTTTGGTAGTGAAGTCAATGCTGCTATAAATGGCTCCATCTGAGAGCATGGTTGCTGTTTTATCCCCTTGGCCTGGAACCGGTGGCAGCACATCTGTGGTGAACATAGGGAAATGAAACAATTTAATGATGCACAGGAAGCCAAAAACTATCAAGATTGAAGATGAAAAATAAATGTGTCATGCCACACGTTTGCATTTCAGCTGAGATGGGTTTCATGAGCCAGTGAAGGGTAGATGATATACAACCAAGCTATCAGCCTTAGTGACAGGCAGGCCTATCGCTTGTCCTTCACGTCTCACTGCCTAACACATCCCTTCCCCCATTTTCTTTAACCATGAATGAGAAGTTTGGGAGATTTCACTATTGAGAAATACTTCCAGTTGCTCATTCTGTTTTAGAACCAATGGAAGTGCTAGCAGTTTACAGAAGCAATGATAAGATGTGAATTTACTAATCATGGGTGAAAACATCTCTTTCCACTTCACCCCCAAAACACAGAATACATCTGCTGAATAGATGCAAAAGTTTCCAGTTATACTGTCCTGACTGTGAAGTATACTTTTTCTGAAATCATATCTGTTGTTTATCCTTTTTAGTTTCATAGTATCAGGAATGGAGAATAACTGATTAACTGATGGTGGAAAATGTGTTCTGATTCCTTGGACAACAAAGGGAAAATTTTTATTAATAAGTCATTTTCACAATAAAGCAGGATTTTTAACTACAGAAGAAACTATCCTGGTCATCAGTGAGCTTAATGTATACTATCTGCTTCTAGAAGTGGAGAATTACACTTTCATGTGATAATACAGCAAGAGTAACATTAAATTTCAGAAACAACATTGAATATCGGCAATGGATCATTGTGGTGTGCTGAATTATCTTTACATGATGCTTTATAATTTAGAACTACCACTTCTCTCTGAACTCTTATTTTCTTTTTTCAGAAGAAAGTGAGTCTAAAAAGAAAATTGTTAAATAATGCTGTTTTTAATCCTATAAAGTAAAACAAATCTAGTTACCCATGTATTTCTTAATAATGTATGTGCTGGAAAGCTCACTTTATAGGACTTGATGTCATCAAATCATTGATTTCTTCATTATATAAAAATTTTAACTGTTAAAACTTTTAGGTTTGATGATATCCAATAATAATACTTGCAATAGGTATTCTAACAGAAATATCAGTTTTGCTTTTACATTTTACAAAAGCTAGAAATTATCTTCTTCTCACACCGGGCACGTGTGCGTGCATGCCCAAGATTCCGAGAGGAGAATGGAGGAGAAGGGATTGCGGCATGACCATCTCCCCTAGGAGGGGGTGATTTCTGGCTTTCTGTCTCTCTGTCTCTCTCTGTCTGTCTGGTGAGCACACACACCCTATAGCGAAAACTTCTCAAAAAAAAAAAAAAAAGGAAAAAGAAATTATCTTCTTTAGCAACAACACAAATTTATATTGTATTTTGTACACTGCATTATGTAAGAATTTCTAAAGATTTGAAGTCTAGAATTTCAACTTATTTTATAATTAAATAAATATGTACTTTGTTGGGGGTACTTTTTAAAAATGCTTATTAATGATATTGTTAAACATATTTAAATTTATTATATTTCATCTAGCTGTATAAACCAGTTAGAATTGTTTTGAATTTCAGAATTTCATGACTACTTTCTTTTCTTTCTTGACTTTAGCTACTTACTAACTACAAAATTTGATACCGAACAAACGTTTTTTATTCTCAGGTGTCAGTATTCTTTTTTATTCTTAAAATGTTTAATATTTAATCAAATAACAAAATTGGTAAAATTAAATTATGACTCAGGCAAGTTTTCAGATTTTTTTCTCTATCACCTCCATTAAATATTTTAGTAATAAATACTAACTGAATATAAATCTTTCTCCAATATGGGCCTGAGTTTCACATATCTTGAACTTGAGGTTTTCCAAAGCTTTAGATTTTCATTATAAACTTCTTTAACAACCAGATTGGGGTGAAGTATACTGATGTTGGGTATTCACTTTACAAGCTAAATGATATATTCTAATTAAATGCTAAAAATAAATTAAAATTTAAAAACTTTTTAAAAGAATGGAGAGAAGAAAAAAAAACCTTGCAAGCTTATGAAATGCTTATGTGCAGAAATGATAAAAGAAATGAAAAAAAAGGAGTCCAAGAATATAATTCTATATAATATTACCCTACAACAACTAAAACTATGACTCTAGAAAAAGAATTTGTCCCCCTACTAGATGAAATTATAGTCATTTTTCAAGTCTAAGTACTTCAATATTGATTATTTTGGCTGCAATCATTTTCAGATACTATTTGATCATTTTCACATTTTCAAGAAATAACATGAATTATATTCCAACATTAAAATATTGGAATATTATACATAAATATCTGGGTGTGGAGAAGAGTCCTACAACATCAGATGGTTTGGAACTCTGGGCCAACTTTCCTCCCAACAGGCTGGACTTGAATATGTGCTGCTATCTCTAGGCAGGACTTTCCAGACTACATTTACCACAGTTCCTACTTACCTCTCTGTCTTTAATGCTTTAGGCTGTCTGTGTGTTTCAAACTTACAGATATATAAACACTGTCCTCCATTCAGAATTAGTGACTCATTCTGCAGCATTTCATATACTTGTTTCATGAATTTAGTAGGTCGTCGGGAAAGTCATGATGTATTTTTCCATGTTTTTCTATGCAAGAGTGTGTCATGACTTTCCGGATGACCCAGTATTTCTTTTTGCCTGATGTACTCATCTGTATGAATATCTTTTCCCTTCACTGTTTCATAAATTACTTGGGGGCAGAAGATTATGGGATTATGTCTGAATTTCTATAATTCCTTATCTTAAAAAAGAGTAAGTATTCACTTATTGAATGGCTGATTTTTCATTGTTTGCATTGACAATTTGTAGGCTTTGCAATAATTTGTAACTTTATTATTTAAAATAATATTTTCAGTCCAACTCAGTGGTACAGCAGTAACTTGCTGCTCAAGAGAAGCTGGATCTCACATGGTAACCATGTTTCAAATACCCAGCCTGGTAAACCTGGAACATGCCAGGCATGTGTGTGAATGGCCAGGATCCAGAGTGCTTTCTGTCTGTTTCTCATTCTTATATGCATATGTTTTATCATCAATAACTTTTAAATATCTAAAATAAAACAATTAAAATACTGTTAATTGCATTCAAATATATATTAGTGTTCCATTTGAAAATGAAATATATTAGTATCCATGATTATCGTTCTAATTGAATATGGTTATTTGGTCATATATGTACACTGATTTTATAACACGCTTCATGCTAAACGTATACATACAGTCATCCATTCAAACTTCATTACATATCTATGAGGTAAGGGTGGTTAGTTTTTGCATTTTTGCTTAGAGAAGTGGGGGAGAGAAAATTCTTATAGTTGTTATGGACAGAATGCAGACTTATACAAAAATTAGTAACTTCATTATTTGAAATACTATCTTAATTACATCTAAGCATATTGGTAATCCATTCTTGGAAAATGCCAGTCTATGATTGTTCTTCAAAGTCAATTTTGTTATATACTCAAACATGTGAAATCCACTCATTGACACTTATAATTGACCCAGAACAGTTTAACACTGCCCTGAGTTGCTTCCATTAATCCTACAAGTGTAGAAATCTTCCAGAAGATTCAGTCAAATTTGCTTGGATTGCGGTACCCTACAAATCATCCTCATTTTCTATTCTTACTCCATTTTATACTCAGTAACAGGATGGATAACTTAAAATAGTGCTTGGATAATAGCATTTTCATCTTTAAAATCTAACAATAACTTTTTGACTCTCCTCTGAACAAAATTTAAAACCTTTATGTGACTAAGAAGGACCTGTCTTATCTACCTCCCGGTATTTCTTACCCCCCTCTTCTGTCTTTCACATTATACTCAAGTCATTAAACTATTTATTTCACTTATCAAATAGGTCTCAAACATTGATTTCTCTTATTTCTGAATCTTACAATATGGTAATTTGTAGGACCAAGAAGTGACATAGGGCTTAAGGTACTGGACTCCCACATAGTTGATTACAGTTTGAGTTCCAACCCTATTGGCTTGAAATTCAAACTAGGAACATGTACATGCATGTCCAAAATCCCAAAAGGAGAATAGAGGAGAAGATACTGTGGCATAGCCATCCCCCCTGGGGGATGATTTCTTGCTTTCTGTTTGTCTTTCTGGAAAGTGCATGTGCCCCCAAGCAAAAATCTAAAGAAAAAATAAGTTAGTAATATGTTCTCTACACCATTTGTTTTCATAATCTAGATTAATTCCTACCCTTCCTTAAGATAGGAGGGGTAGTAGTCCTTTCATAGATCTTGGTTACTCTCAAAGAATAACCCTCTTGTGTGGGCTTCTGGAAAGGCAGCTCAAGTTCATTCACTCTCTACACAATCTTCTGCCAATAAAAAAGACATAAACTTGCCAAGCCAAACACTGGGTTCAGAGACTTCTCTACTCCTTCCAGTTTTCTCTAAGTGTATCTCTCTTTCACTGTAAAAGTGGAGATGCAGGAGGTGGTAGTTATTTATAATAGGTCTAATTCTGTGTCCTTATAAAAATCTCTAGGGAAGACTCTGACACCGATTTTTGGAAATTTTAGCATGTCAGTTACTCAGTACTTCTTTTTTTTTTTTCCATTTGCAATACTATCTATCTATTGGAAAACTATAGACAGTGCTCTCTCGACATGTCACCATGTTGTCTGCTCCTTACAGGACATATTACATGATGGTAAGACCATATCTTTTGCTGTTTTGTTGTGTGTATGTATGTCTTTTGTTTTGTTTTGTTTTTAGAGAGAAATTTTTGTTATTGGGCATGTGTGCTCACCAGAGAGACAGAGAGGGAGAAATAACCCTGCAGGGGGACGGCCATGTTGCAATTCCTTCTCTTCCAATCTCCTGTTGGGATCTTGGGCACACATGCATATGTACCCGGCATAGTTGTAAGCTGCTGGATCCAGGACTTGATCTGCAGTCAACTACGTGGGAGTCCAGCAATGTAACCATTATGCAATCTGTTGGTCCCTTGATTGTTTTGTGACATGGCTGTGTCACCAACCTCCTTCCTCAGTCTCTAGTGTAGTGAGAGTACCAAAGTGCAACATGGAACTCTGGTTTTAAGGCTGGACTGGCAGTGAAAGCTGGGCCTTCGACATGGTCTCAGACTGACAAGCAGCATACACTATCATAGCTAGCCAGGACCATCTCTTTTGTAGCGATATTATATTCTGTCTGCTAAAGTTCCAGGTATATAAGAAAGTTCAATAAATACATGTTGAATGAGATTTTTGAAAAGCAAAACATTTCTTCCCAAATCATAAGCCCTAGTTAGCAGCATTGTTCTTGACTTTAGTAATAATATACTTATGTTTCTGAAAACATGTATTACGTTGTATCTTCTTGGTTTGTAATGGCTTTAAAAGTTTAACTTTTCTCAAGATAATATATACAGAATAGCTTTATATTAAAATGTGTGAGCAAATGTGCAGCACTGATAGAATATGTGCTTCATTAATTTTGATTATAGGATAAAATACTCTTTAACAGATCTTTCTAAAATGAAACTAGGAAATCAAAGCAACAAACAAACAATATTATTTTTAAAAGCATAACTTACCTCCACGTCCAAAGTTCGCAATCTCATTTGGACCACTATTGCTATTGTTTACTGGTAAGCTCGTGGCTGGCCATGAATCAGCAAGCCATGGATAATTGGGATCACCAGCATTCAGAAGACCTGGACGGCTAAAGCAGAAATGAGAAGAAAATCAACCCATGGAATTCAACACAAGACTTTGACACCTGTCCTATGCACTAAAATAGTTAAAATAATTTATGCAGACTTTAATTGACTTTAAATTAAAATGTGTAGGCTCCCAAGAATTAAAGAACTTCAGCAGTTTATTAAGACTATGTATAGATCAACCCTGTCAGTGGAGGCAGAGTCCTCACCTAGGATTTTACTGACATCCAAATGAATTCAGTTGTCTGCCCTGAAACCAGTGGGAATTGGTAACATAGTAGGATCCCCAAACAAGATTTGATGATAAATTGGCACCCTAAGGGAGCAATTGTTCTGATTGACTGCCCAGTACCAGCCACTTCCAGGCCTTTGGGCTATTTCTTTCTCAATCCCTTCAGCCATCATATGGATATGTCCCTCCTAGGTTGTTATCCTTCCTTTGAGCCCTGCATACTTGATTTAGAGGCAAGAAACTTGAGGGAAATTAATGAACAATATTTATACTGCTACACCAATAGCCCATTTCCAAGTTCTCTATATTGCAAAATATTAGTGGTATATTATGTGATTTTTAAAGGTAATACAAGATCCACTGTGATACGATTCAGCATGTGGGTATAATCTGTGGGGAAAACTTCCTTCACTTCATATTTAATAAAGAATTCCCTCTTTAATATAAAAAAATGGCATTCTGATGTCTTTCCAGATTATTAACATATTTAGAGAGAAAAAGAACATCTATAATCACTGTATTTTTTTTTTTTGATAGACCCCTTCTGGTACAATCCCTAAGAGAAGCATGTGTTTCTATGGAAACTGCAATAAGAAGATCCAACTGCTTTCTTGCTCCAACTACTAGCTCTCATTAGACCTAATCTCTTTTTGCTAAAATATTGATTAAATGGGAGATTGGAAGTTATTACCAGAGCCTAATTACAATCTCCATATTGGCAAAGGGGAAATAGATGAGGATATATGGGTTTGTTATCAGCTTTTATCAATTTCAATTGAGTATCCAAAGTTGTGGAATCCAGTTCTATCAATCTACAGCCTATTCATCATCCATGAATCATTTACTTTGTGATCGATTATGTGTAATTGTTCACTCACAGTAATTTAGCGAGAGCCAATAAGGAGTCTTAAACAACAGCAACTTCATTTGCTAATGTCTAATTAATGCAATAAACATCCTGCTAACAAATGAACACATTCCTTGTGATATTTACTACTAATTTCTTCAGGGGCATCTGGGAGATATGAAACATCTGGACTTGATTCCTCTAAAGTGCACAACAGATAGATCATTAAACCTTGTGGTAAACCATTTAATTCCTCCTAGAATTCTCAGACTTATAAGTGATCGTTTATTACAATAATAACCTTTTTCTGTGAAGTTTCCCCAGTCCTAATTAAAAATAATAATAAAAAAAGAATCTTCTTAACATACCTTCCGTTGCTCATTAGTCCTCCATCTCCTCTTTGAAATGTAACTGTAAAATAAAAAAAAAGACATATACACAAACAAGTAGTCAATATTAATTACAATTAATAACAGCTACATATTGGCCCTTAGTTTAGTACTGAGACCTCTGGGAATTTTAACAAAATATAATTAACATAATTGTACAGAGAGTAACAAGCAGTGGTTTGGCCCAGGGCAAAGCCATCATTTGCTCCAACTTTAAACGGACATTTCAGAATTCTTCGAGCCAAACGTATGGTTAAGTTAAAGTGGCAATTTGCATTTAGATGTCAAACTCTGTTACAATTGGTATATATAGTGATATAAGAAGATCGATTTAGCATTAACATGGATTTATTGAATCAAGACTTTTAATCTTAACACAAAGGTGTCCTAATTAGAAGGCACAGAAAAAATACACATAACAGAACCTGAAACAGGTTTATTCAAACAGACAATATCCTTCCAAAGAAACAAGAGAAACAGAACCTTATTTACTCAACATTTTTTTTTTTAATCCTACAGACCCTATAAGGAAAACTTATAAGCACAGTGAGTTGAAGAGTTAAAAATACAATAGACATGAATTGTAATAGAGAACAACATGTTCACGGGAATAAGAATTTTGAATAATTGATGCTGAATCCACTTCAATTGCATGTAATGGTTGCAAAGCTTAAGTCCTCCATAAAACTACGGAATTTATTAGCATCACCCATAAGCATCTAGTGAAGCCATAGCCTGGAAATTCTCTGCCTCCTGTCAATACCTTCTGTTTCACAAAGTTACAACATGCAAGGAGAGTTTAAGAATCACCAAAGAACCTAAATATAAGCTCAGACCCTTTATCTAAAACTTTTTCAGTCTAATGTGTTTGGATTGCGAAATGATTCATTTGTGAGAAAAGTAATATAACTTGCATAAAAAAGTAGAGTCTAAAGCACCAAACTGTATTCAAAGTGATTTAATATTTTGGCAATGAAATGTTAATACCCATGACTATGGGGTAGAGTTAGTGCATAGTTTCATATTAGTTTGGATTACATTTTGCCACAAAATGGCCCAACTACAAAGTTATGGAAATGATATTGGGTATTTTGAACTTTATGAATTACATAATGGCAATAAACTTGCAATTCTGACCAAAATAATGTGAGTTAACTAAACCAATTACTGGAGTAAAGGGTTAAAATACCACTTTTACAGCTATTAATCCCACATAGCCTATCTTCAAAACACATTGATTACATTTACACTCATTTTTTGTTAATTTGGTGACTGAAAGTGAAAATAAATAACATTTTTATGAATTGATTTATATTTTAAATAAATTACAGATATATTGTCAAAGCATATACATATGAAGACTTCTTATTTAGAGTAACTTCGTAATTCATCTGTTTCTCAAGTGTGGGCAATCAGATATGATCACTCTTTAAATTTTGTAAACTTCCAAATGTAGTCTCCACCTGTCTTCTTTAAGGTGTCATCTCATGACATCAAAATTGGAACATTATCACAATTCCAAGGGCCCATCAGGACCTCTGGAGTGAAACATAACAGGGCTGGCAAGAACATACTGTTGGTATCCAAGGTATACTGCCCTATCCATTTTTCAGGTAACATCTCAAACGCATTGTACAAAGCACTCTTGATGTGAGCTTTGCATCTAGAACTAGCTGTAGACAGCCCATTGGAGTAAGGCAAAAGAAGGAGCACCACAGCCTCATTTCAGTGCTGGGAATCAGGACAGCAGTTTATTTGTACCACTATTGTGCTCCTTTGAAAACCACTCTTAACAAAAAGTAATCAATCTGAAACAATTAATGCAAAGAATGGGGCCCTGGAGGTATTGATAAAAGGCATGATTAGAGGACACACACACATACACACACATGTGTGCACACACACAGACACAATGTGAAAATAGTACAGGTAGTTAGCTTTCTATCTGATGTGGCTTTCTAGTTATGTGGGCTCTTAATAGACTGTCAAGTTATTGTTTTATTCTGTTAAAACAGAGTTATGATAATGCTGTGGACATTGTGGATACGTAAGTGAGCAGACACTGATGGGCTGTATCAAAAAGTGTGCTGTTTAGGACATACGTAGGAAGCCAAATAGTTTCCTCATTTGAGTAATCTTCTTTTGCATCCTAACTTTCTGTTATTACCAGAGCAATAAAAATTAGAGAAAAGGAGGGTGACTGAAGAAGAAGCACAAAAATTGAATGATACTTTAGACACTAAAAACTTGCAAATTCTTCATAAAATGTAGTTTAAAGTATTACCATGTATCATTCAAAACCTTTTCCAAAAAGTTATTCATTAATGTTAATTTGGAAACATATTAGAGGATGGATCTTATGGCATGGTCTGTATTTGACAATTGAAAATTAAATGTTGTAAGCAAAAGAATGTGCCCTTAATATTCAGCGTTCAGGGCATAGCTCTTCTTTATTTGTGTTCCAATCACCATTAAAATGTGTTTAGAAAGTCTCTCTAAGCTTCTAATAGTCTGTCAAAATATTTTATAAAGACATTTATCTCTATATATCTGCATACCTACTGTCCAAAGGTAAGATCCATATACTTACATTATGTAAGTATTTGACTTTTAACTTAAACAGTCCATATCCAATTTGGTACACATAAAAACAATTCATTTAGTATGTTTCTGTCAGAAAAAAAATCCATAAAATACTACCTTATAATATCAGGAATGTCTAGTTGTATTTTTAAAGCAAAGGAAAGAAGAGGACAGTCTTTCAAGTTTCTTTTTTACCCTATACTCCAAAACTTTGAGTTGTGCCATTTTGAAGAGTAAATCGAAGTAAAAGAGCTTCATGAACTGTAAGTTGAAAAGCAGACTATGAACAATTAGAATTCCTAAGGTGAAAATTATATCAAGCATTTGCACTTATGTGGGTGATGCACTCAGAAAGAGAGAAACATAAAAACACATGCCACAGCAAACTGAGCTATTTTTTTTTTTGGAGAGATTTTCGCTCGCCAGACAGACAGAGAGAGACATAGAGACAGAAAGCGAGAAATCACCCCCCAACGCAATCCCTTCTCCTCCATTCTCCTCTCGAGATCTTGGGCACACACGCACACGCGCCCGGCGTGAGTTTCAAGCCACCGGGTCCGGGACACGAACCGCAGTCGACTACGTGGGAGTCCAGCGACATAGCCACTACGCTAACTGCTGGTTCCCCAAACTGAGCTATTTTGAAGCAGTTCTTATTTTAAAGGAATGTTTGCCTTGAAGCTGGGAAAATGGGGTGGGGCAGGTAGTTGGACAATAGTGTTTTTTGTCAGTTTCTTTTTATTTATTTATTTAATATTATTATTATTTAAAAATTTGATAAAGGTCATGTATGCTCAGCAGAGGCAGAGGGAGAAAGGAAGAAAGCAAGCTTCCAGGTCTAAAACTCAAGCCATGGTCAGCCATGTGGGAGTCCAGTAGCTTAACCACTGTGCCACCACCTTCTGGCCCCATTGTCACAATTTTGATAATCACGGCACAGTAACTTGGAACTTATCAGAGATAAATTTGGAGTAACTGTGAATCTTAACTGGGACTCTCTTTTATCATCTAAAATTAAGAACTGTTGCAAAAGAATATTCACAAGTCTTTAGCTAAAAGTAAGTAACTGTATAGCACGAAGGCTTCCAATAATTTCCACAGACACCACAATCAAGAATTGCATGAAGTATTTTGAGTTTATTGTAATACTATAAGCTGAAAAGATTTTGCAAGGTTATAAAATTTATACAAAATATCCCTAACATTACTTGACAGGATTAGCCCTGATCTTATGCTTGCTAGAACTGGAGAAGAGGAGAAGGAAAACCTAACTATGTGTGCATTGACATTTTGACGTAGGGAAGTTTTCAGAGTGCCTATCATTACTAGGTCCCATCTTCAAATCCCAAATGGAAACATTAATGTTAGTCAAGCCTCATCCCCTTTCCTGATAAGCTATGTATTTCTCAAATACAAATGTACATTAATCCTCTTTTAATAAGTACTAACTCATCTGAGATCATGAGAGTATTAAACAGTGCATCCAGGCCTTCGGCTGTCTTTGGATACTTGTGTCAAATCATTTGTATTTCACCAAAAGCTTTAAAGCCTATATGTGAAGTGTCCAGTATTCACTATTTGCTTCAACATACCAAATTGTTCAACACTACCGTGCTTCATAAAATTTGTTACCCTCAGAGATAACATTCATAAATACAACCCATCCCTTAAAAGGTGAAATTACAGTTACTTTTTGTTATTACAAAGTTGACTTCAGAAATTATGAATAGGAAAATGAATAGCACAATCAGAAAAGCGTCAATATGGCCTTCATAAAGATTATGCCACAGTTAAATATATATACATATATATTAATAAAATTGTGTATAATCCTCATGAAAGCCACATAATTTTTTCTAAACTTATGTTTGTCATTTTTCTGTTCACACATACTATTAGACATATGACTGAACATATACTCTAGACTGAAAAAAATCACCAATATATTTAATGTTATCTATTCAAGGTTCTTTATAATTCTCTTCAACTTCTAACAACTCAGGTGGTACATTCTAGCAGTCAGGAACCTCACAGTAATGGCAAGTAGATTGTTAACACTCAATGAAAATTAAGGTAAATAACATTGCACACTGCTCTAGAAAAGTATAAAATAATTTCACGTAGAATATGGGAAATGGAGATGCTTTTTTTGGGTCCAGTTGTCCTTTTTAGTGGCATATATAAACATGGGGTACATATTTTGTTTGTTTTGCTTTTTAGGTTCTTGCCGTACGGCATGTGAACTCATAGAAAAGATTGAAGACATGAGAAATCACCCCTGGGGGGTATGGCCACTCTACAATCCCTTCTCCTCCATTCTCCTCTCTGGATTTTGTGCACCTACACCCATGGAGTAATTTTCAAGTTGCTGGGTTCAGGGCTCAAACTATAGTCTGTCACATGGGAATCCAGCCCCTTAACCACCATGCGACCTGCCGGCCCAACTTGTGGTACATGTTTACACCTCTCTGGGAGTAAGAATTTAACTAAAGGATAAATATGATAAAAACAAACTGGAAGTTAGTGTGCAACACTGCCCTGAGGAATTCTCCACTTTCCTGCTGTGTAAAGACCCAAACCCAGCCCAGCCATGGTAATACAAGCAGTAAAGGCGCTGCTGAGTGATGCTGGAATCAGTTTGGGGAGGCGCTAGGTTCACATCCTGGTCTATCTGAATGTGCCAATGCTGTCACCCCCAGGACCCTGGCAAGCTGCAGGGTTGAATTAACTGTGTAAATTTGCATTTCATTATTTTTTTGTTTAGCATTATTTATTTAATTTTATTTATTTTTTTTAATTGAGACACAAAGAGAGAGAGAGACAGAGAGAGAGAGTCAGAGAGAGGGATACATTTCATTCTTAATGTTGCTTATACGATCTAAGATATAAGACATTGTATTGATCCACTAGTGTTCTAAGAGAAATGTGTTAAATGCTCTGACATCTCAAGAAAAAAACACTGAATAGCAGTACTTCCTTTTTCTTCCTTCTAAATTTTAAAATATAATTGTCCACAATGGTGACATACCAGAGAACAGCCATAATATATGTCATTGGGTTAGTTTTGCCTATATAGGGTAAGAAGGCATCTTGCCGTGAGTTAGAAACTATTCCCTGCCAGCTATTTATGAGCCCACTATTTAATCTTTCCTACCCTACCTCTAGTGGTTGAGAAGATGTGGATCAAAGAAATAAGAAAAGAGAGAGGCCTAAACAAATTTAACCTGCTTTACAATCCTACTTATTGTCAGCATAGCTTTGTTAAAAGTAAATGTCTCCTAATATATGCAAATTGCATTAGCTGTTAAAGAATATTTCAAGATTATAATTGGAGTATGAAATAAATGAAGTATCTTATGCTATAAATTAATTTAAATAAATTAACTTCACTATCCAAATTTTATTTTTATCAGAAAAATAGGTATCATTATTACGACTCTGTTAAAAATTGAGGTTTTATAGACATAATACAGAGTGGAGAAATGGAAATTTAGTCTTTTTACCTCATGAGTGAAATTAGATTGATTTAACTTTAATGAACTTTGTTTTCATGAATGCAATATTATAAAACTCCAAGAGATATTTTTATAAAAATCAAAATATAAACAGGGCCAGTACAAATAGTATATTCTTATAGTTTTGATTATACACTTTAGAATAAATGAGTCCCCAATGAAATCTTCGTGCCCTTAAAATGAATCCTCAGCTTATGCATGCAATTCAGAAATACAGGACAGCAGGTAACATGGTGGTCAAAGCACTAGACTCCCACATAGTCAACCACCATTGAGTCCCAGACCATTGCTTTCTGACTTTCTCTCTGCTGAGTGCATGCGCATATAACAATTGAAAAATAGTAATAATAAATTAAATTAATAATTATTTTAAAACTATATCAGAAATATAAACATATAGTAAATATATATTGTGCTCATTGTTCCTAAAGATTCAATATGATCCAAGTTGAATCAAGACTAGTATAAAATTTTTTGAGAGGTTTTTGCTATATGGTATGCACGCTTGTCAAAAAGACAGAGAGACAGCGAGAAATCACGCCCTAGTGAGGATGGCCACACCACAATCCCTTCTCCTCCATTCTCCTCTCTGGATTGTGGGCACACACATGCGCCCAGCATGAGTTTAAGCCACCAGGTCCGAGACTTGAACCACAGTCAACTACATGGGAGTCAGAGACAGTCATTATGCTAACTGCAGGTCCCTAATTTTTTTTAAAAGGTGGAAGAAAGTTTTTGAAGGGAAAGGTATAGAAAATCTGCCCAAATCTAATGTACAGTTCTAGGTAACTGCTGGATTTACCTAAAATAAAACAGTAGTTGTCAGAAAGCAAATTCCTAGCTGAAGGTAAATCCACTCTGAGAGTCAGTCATCTATCAATTAAGGATAAAACTTCTGAAAGGTTTCACTCTGCCTTGGCCTTACTCCAAAACATTTAAAGGGCATAGCACCTTCTGAATTATTGGTTCTTCTGCAAGCAGATGGATATCAATCACGGTGAGAAATGATAACAGGAAATGTACTATCCTTGTTAAGCTCAAAGACCAATAGATATTTTTAAATTAAGTGCATAAGTTTTAGAAAGGACTGCTTAAAAAATATCTGTCTGATGTAATTTTCCTAAAAGTGCAAGCTTTCTCACTAGGAGAGTTCTTTTACTGATAAGGAGTGAGTGAATGAAGTAGATAAAAATGCAACATTCCTAATATGGATTTATTAGAATTTTGCACTCTAGATACTAGTCTACCCATCTTCTTTTTATTATCACTGAAGTTAAATGAAAGAATAAATACAAAATAGTCTTTGAATTTAATCAGTTCTTCCTTTTGTTGTATATGATTTCTACCCGTGTGTCACGGAGATGAAACGTAACGGTGGCTCATTAACCAGATGGGCTGGTGGACAATACCTTCAAGGATAAAAGCAGAGGACTGAAATGCAAAGCAAGAAGGTACATTAAAGTGTTGTTAATATTGAAGACTCTGACACGGAGCAGATCTCATTGAGCACCCCTTTCTGGGAAGATATTCCTTATCAGTAAATTGGCATGGCACTTAGATGAGAAAGCATGAAAAAGCAGGTAGCCAGCAACCAGTGAAAAATGAGAACGGCAGAATGATAAGATGACACCATGCATGAAAGCCCTTTCCAATGGATATGCTATACTACCTTTTCTAGTCCTGGAAATTTATTCTAACCACTAACTAATAAATTGTATCTGCCTAAGATATATATATGAGGCACAATGTTAAAATATAATAATCATATTTAAATTCTGTAAATAACAAACAAGACAGCCAAGTGGTGAGCTATTCCTAGAATTTTTCACTATTTACAAGCTCTCAGAAGCTTAGAAGTCTACAAGCTAGAGCAGCTTAGAGGCTTAATAAGAAATGACACCTCTGTCAAAATCAGTTTTGAAGACACTTATGCTTCTTATACACATTAACATTAGAAATAGAAGACTGAATATAATGCCACAAAACCTTCTAAAGTGTTCATAGGATGATACTAAATTAAAATTATTCTTGTATAAATTCTAAAAACTGTGAAATATTGTGAATAATTTCTTCTTATTGTTTTTAATATTGGAGAAAATATTCAAAATCACAATTAAAATTGTAACTGATCTTAGCTTCAGTATTGAGTTTATTTTCTCAATCACTAACTTTATATTAATGTTTTCTCTCCCTCTCTCTCTCTTTCTCTCTCAATAATGTTTTCTCTCTCTCTCTTTTGAAGATGTCTTGAAGACCACAATTTCTGACTTCCATGAAAGTCAGTTTTGGATTGAGAAAACATTAAAATTCTGCAAACATGTAGACTATCTATGGTCTTAGTCATTTTATTTCTTCTCATTTTCTTCTTCCTAAATGCTACTTGTCTGAATGAGCTAGACACCCTTCTTAAGTGAATAGTAAATCATTCAGTTCATGCTCATTAGTTTTATTAATCTTTTTAATTTTTTTGGAGAGATTTTCACTATAGGGTGCGTGCGCTCACCAGACAGACAGAGAGAGACATAGAGACAGAAAGTGAGAAATCACCCCTCAGGGGGGATGGTCACACCGCAATCCCTTCTCCTCCATTTTCCTCTCAGGATCTTGGGCATGCATGCACACATGCCCTGAGTGAGTTTTAAGCCACTGGGTCCAGGACGCGAACTGAGGTCAACTACATGGGAGTCAAGCGACATAGCCATTATGCTAGCTGCTGGTTCCCATTAGTTTTATTAATCTTAGTGAGATGAGACTTTTGCTGGTTCATATTTTCCATCTAAGACATTTCCTACTATAATCTGCATCCTGACATACTAAAACCTTTATCTCAAATCTTTCCTTTTTCATGAGCATTTTAGTAATGAATGCTTTTACATAAATCTTCTGAAACGATGGCTTTGCAGCATGCACTCTCTTGTGTGTGTGACTCTAAAGAACTTAGTGGAGAAAGGTCGGTTAAGTGTTTTATCAGTTTCACTCTTGTTACGCTTCACTGGAGATACAAGCCAAAAGATTACCTTATGGTCATAAAGCAATATGGTCAGAACCAATGCTCTAAATGTTGTTGTTATGATAGCATTTTGCAGAGCAGATTTTATAAACAAGCCAAAATCACTTGCTATTTCATTCCATTCCTTTCTTTCATTTCATTACATTCCTAAAAATAAGAGATTTTCTTAGCTGGAAATAGTCTCTTACCTGCATAATTACTAAGTCCCTTTCTCTTCTTTCGTCGCCAATACAACCAGATGCTAAAACCCATCAAAATTACCCAGCAGGCACCACCGATCCCAGCTATAAAAGCCGGTTGCTTCACAACATCAGTAATCTGCTCTGTTATGCTGTTATTGTTTTCAGTAATGACAACTTCATTACGTCCTCCTATGGAAGAAACAACAGTGTTAGCAAATATTCAGGCAAAAATCAACATCGGAATACATATAGGGTGCACCAAAGGCACAGAAAATTCTTGTAAAGGCAGGTGATATTTGTCCTGTCCTAAGCCTGTCACAAATATGTTTCAAAAGAAGAATAAAATCATGAGTTTGAAAATGTGATTAAGAACACTGTCTTTTTCTGTTTGAGTTTGCTATGGAGAAATTCAAAACCATTTCTTGACATATCAACATGTAAATACTAAAACAAAGCACTAGAAATTAAAATAAGGGAAACTTTCCTTGAGTTAGGTAAAATGTTTTTTAAATATAATTCTCACCCCCCCCAAAAAAAAATCAACTACAGAGTTCAACACCAAGTATTAGCAATTGCTTCCCTGTTAAGACACTGATGATCTTCAAATGCTCATAATTATGATTCAAATATTCAAGAATAAGTAACTTAATATTGTCCTTAAAATTTTACCCAAATAACTTACTTTGATCAAATATCCTTTAATTGTCTGGAAAATATTAAAAATAGTATATAGAACAATGACAATTATGTAAACATTTCTTCATACAGATCAGCATGCATAATTAAACTGCAATGAGAAGATAAAAATCATGTATTTCTTTAAAGTAATTGAAATTAATTTGAAAAATCCTCTTGAGAGTTAAATGTAAAAGAAAACTGCAGAATTAATTTTAAGGTCTCCATAACTAAAGCATACATTTAAATTTGAACTAATATTATTCTTGAAGTGGACATGTTTTGAAATTTTAAATCTGTCACAGATCATTAGGAAAAGCTCCATGCACAATTTAAGTAGGTTTTAAATTCATAGAATTGCAATACCACTAAAGAGCAAAACTTTAGGTGTTTATTTAATAAATTAAGAAATTGAGACACTGAGAATTAAGTAATTTCTAAGGCCAATAGCATGCCAGGTTAGTGACTAATCAACAACTTATTTTTATTTTTATTTATTTATTTTTAGTTTTGCTGTAGGGCATGTGCACTCCCAGAGAGAGAGGGGGAAAGTGAGAAATCACCCACCAGGTAGGATAGCCATCCCGCAATCCCTTCTCCTCCATTCTCTTCTTGGGATTTTGAGCATATTCGCATACACACCTGGTATGTTCTTACAAGTTTCCAGGTTCATACTCAAACCATGCAGTTGGTCATGCAGGATCCAGCCATCTTAACCACCACCCCATCGGTTGGCACTAATCAACAACTTTTAAATGGTAAATTGTAGGAAAGTATAAATGGCACAAGCCTGTATATCAATTCAAAGAAATGTATGGAATTTTCTTTGTTTTAGTTTACATGACACCTTGATATTTCAGAAAGAGAATGGTCTTTGGGACTAGCAGTTAGCATAATGGCTATGTCTCTGGACTCCTACGTAGTCGACCGCGGTTCATGTCCCGGACCTGGTGGCTTAAAAAACTCACGCCGGGCACGTGTGCATACGTGCCCAAGATTCTGAGAAGAGAATGGAGGAGAAGGGATTGCGGCATGGCCATCGCCCCTGGGGGGTGATTTCTCACTTTCTGTCTCTCTGTCTCTCTGTCTCTCTCTGCCTGGTGAGCGCACGTGCCCTATAGCAAAACCTCTAAAAAATAAATAAATAAATAAAATAAAAAAGAAAGAAAAAAAAGAAGGGCACTTATTCTTTTTTGAGCCCTTGTTTTCGTGCATTGGCAATAATACTATCCACTTCATTTATTTTGGAAAGATTAATTGAGGTGATGTACATTAAAAAAAAAATCAATAGGAATATAATTTTTTTTTCTTTTACTCAAAATTAGGCTCATGTAAGGCTAAGAGTTATTTTAAAAGCCTCTCAGGATCATGACTATTAAATTATCTAGATTTGAGAATCCTGCAAACCAAAGTGACTTGTTTACCAAAATGATTCTATTTTTTCCAAAGCAAGAAAATTAGCCTACATTTATCAGCTTTCCTTACACTTGAGTGTTACAAGTGAGTATCAGCCTGGGTACAGAAATTCATACTACCTCCACACCTGACCCATAACACTTCTGTTACAATACTTGATACTCTTTCTCATTCATGTGTTGGACAAAACAGGGGAGTTATTGGAGAATGCTAATTCCCAAAAGATGGTAGAGTTATAGTTTATTATGGCTGCTAGCATTGCCTTATACATATTTCCATTCCATTCCTGAAAGGTCCTTTGTGTTAAATTACAGATTTAAAAACCAGTTTCACCAATGTAGTAAACCTCCTTCATTTTCCCAGTATGCCTGCTCTCAGTGTAAACATAATCGAAACTATTAAAATAGCTCATATACTTTTTCTTTTTTAATGTTTTTGTTTTTGTTTGTTTGTTGTTTTGTTTTGTTTTGTTTTTTATTTATTTATTTTTTTGCTTTTTGGTCAGAGGATACATGCATTCACCAGAGAGAGATGGAGAGACAATGAGAGGGAAAGTGAGAAATCACCACCCAGGGGGACGGGCATGCCACAATCCCTTCTTCTCCATTCTCTTCTCAAGGATTTGGGGCACACGCGCACACATGCCTGGTATGATTTTCAGACCTCCTGTTCTGGCACTCAACTGCAGTCAGCCATGCAGGATTCCAGCACCTTTAACCACCATGCCACCTGCTTGCCCTTAAATCAGCTTGTATTTTCGATATGAGATATGCACCTATCTACTACTTTTCTTAACTAGTAACAGTTACTAAAAAGAGAACAAATGTTATATAGAGCAAAGAGAACAGAAAATTTCCCTTCATTTACTTTGTGCACAAATATTTTATGTAGTATGATGCAACATTTATGTTACCCAAGGTGTAGTACTACTTTTTGGATGCTGGTATTTTTGAAACAATGTTGTCAGTTGAACTAATTAGAGCATAGACAAGGGATGTGTGTGACCTGTAACGCTCCATTGTTCTTGCAGACAAAAACTATAATGAAATATAATGTCTTCCTCCCATTGGAGAGTAATGAAGAACAAAACTAATTTGTTGGACTGAAAAATTAATTAGACACATCAGATTCGATTGTACCTATTCCTGTGAAAGTTTGCAGCTGTTCCACATATTATTTTCCAACCATGTAATATAAGCATGAAAAGACCAAATGATTAACAAAATAATTGCCAAGTTACTAAGATTATTGAAAATTCTGAGTCCATGTAAATTTGTTACATATTATTTGAGACTTATGTATGTGAATATATATGTGGTTGCATTTTTGTGTCTGTAGGTACAAAAATATAATATTGTGGATACTTTGATACAAAGTCATCTTACTATAGGACACTAAAGAGAAAAGAATGACACAAATTGAAACCTCTGTATGGCTGTGAGTTATATTTTTACAATATTTTAATGAATGGTTCTTCAATGAATGAACCATTTTCTGTAATAAAGACCAAACTGAGAGGGGTAAATGAAATAGTACTTATTCATAGGACAAATCTAAAATTATTACCTATAAATTACATCAAATAATGCCAATACATGAATGAATTAAACAAAGGTGAAATGTGGTTCAGCCTGAGTCGCTTCAAGTGCTCTTTCCAGTACTGAATAGAAAGTAGGGGAAGCATTAGCCATCACTAAACCCCTGTTCAACTAAGGAATGAGTAACAGTTGTGTAGATAAGGTTATCAGACAAGATGTTGAGGCAGATATGCAGGGATAATGAAAGAAGCAATTAAAAGTCTTCTCAGTACAACAGTAGGATATTAAAAAGAAATAAATCTCTCCAGGACAAATAGCCTTTGCTGGGGTGCTCATTGGGCTTGCGTGTGTCTCTAGATGTGTGTATTTCTGTACTAATTTCAAGTACTATAATTCTTTTTTCTTTTTGTGATTACATATCCAGTATATCATATTCTAACTCCTTGACTAGAAGATAGAAATATCATTTACTAGGCTTTTTAAATTCATAGAAACATTGCAATACACTAAACAAGAAATTTAAAAGGGTTCACTATTCATTACAAAGCTCAGTCTGTTTAAAATTATTTGAGAGTAAAGTAAAACTTTCTAATTGACTTAAAATAATTGCAATCTAAAATAATCTAACAATCTAAATTTTAAGTTGCTATACAATTGTTTAGTACATAACCCATTGTCATGAGATGAACTTGACTATGTCATGTGTTTAAAGATTATTACTTCCTGTAAGTGCAATAAATCCCAAAAATATGGCAAAGCAAATAAATAGTCATTAGGAAAGCAAAACAAAACATCATTTTCATGCCTTTAGAAATATATTTATCATTAAAAAAATCCCTCCCTCCAAAAAATAAAAAGAAGATATAGTTATTTGCTATCATATATCTTTGAGAACAAATAAATTTAGTCAATCCATTTCTCATCTGTGGTAGAGATACAGTTTAAAAAAATATTTATCTAAGTGTTCTAATAAAAAACTGTTCTTGTTAAACATGCTTCATATGGAGGTTTTTATGTGAAATATTAATGACTTATTTCTAAATACTATAAATATTATATATCAGTTAAGCCCTTTTGGGTGTACCTGTATTTCTTTCTAATTTATTTTAGAAAATCTCAGTAGGGCAAGATTATAGGTTTCCCTCAGGTTAAGGAATTAATTCAGTCTGAATGACTAATTAAGAAAGAGAAGGCAATTTAAAGAAAAAGTAATACTTTTAACATCTTTGCTTCATTGCTTTTAGTAGTGTATAAATCAAAGAAAACTTAGGCAGTCTAAAAATTTCTAACATTATAAGTCAATGGGTTTGAATCTGTTACCATGCAATAAAGACTTTGTAATAGAAATATTTATCCGGAAACTATACTCTATATGCATTTAAAGGCATTGCTAAGCAAATAAAAACAGAAAAAAAATACTGAAAAAGATTTTCCCTCTTGAAATAATTGAGCTCTGGAAGAGGGTATTTGCATTTTTGAGGTTTTTTTTTTTTTTTTTCCTTTGCCCTCAAGTTTATTCTCAATCCATGTAGTAAAAGGCAGCTAGTGCCCAAGTAGAAA